TGCAAAGTTCACATAGGTAGGATGGTAGATAGGACTTTCTATGGAGAAGGTTTCTGGTATTCAATATTTCAAGTGCAAGAAACCAGCAGAAGATTTTGTATCTCTGGACAACTGAAGATTTCCAAATCTTGTTAAAAATGGGAGAAACCATTCCCCCCTGCATTAGAGTCTTGTACAACTTGGCAGCCGGAAATTTAATAGAGTTCCAAGTATACTGCCATGTATCATCATTGTTGGAGAATCTGGTCTGATTCATTGTTAATTGCACTTCTTGGAATTGATCAAAGGCCTGAATAGACAGTGGCCTGTACAAAATTTCTTCAAAGCTTTCAGTCTCAGCCACTTGCCGAACAGAGATGGATTTATCAATGGCAAAAGAGAATAATTCAGGATATTGGATATTAAGAGGTGTATTGTTCCAATTGTCATGCCAGAAAAGAACAGATCTTCCTTGTCCCACAGTGCAAGAGGCCTAGGATTTGAACTCAGGGAGTAATTTCAAGATTGCTTTCCACCAAAATGAACCCATTGGTCTGTCAGTGGGTGCACTATTGGGATAGTAAGTGTTCCAAATCAAGTGAACATGAACCCATGGCAGATCATGTATGTTGAGAAACTTGTGTAAATGTTTCATGAGTAGTGCTTTGTTGTGTGTGGCAACATCAAGAACTCGAAGACCACCTTGATCTTTGGGTTTGCAAACTTCTGTCCAAGCAACCAGAGGAGGGTCCTGTTCCTCCATACCGTATTTCCTCCAGAAGCAATGTCTGATGTATTTGTTGACTTGATCAATCACAGAAGTTGGGGGGGGGGGAGGCAGAGCTCATAAGGAATGTTGGCATGCTTGAGAAGGCACTTTTGATCAAAGTCGGTTTTCCCCATAGGATAGCAGAGTGGAACAACAAGTGAGTCTCCTCTCAATTCTTTGCATCACAAGGATGAAATCTTGAACTTTTGGTATGCTAGTGCCAAGAGATAGCCCTAGATATGTAAATGCGAAACTGCCCGCAGCACAACCCAGAATGTTAGCCAGAAGATGAGTTCTCTGGGGGTTAACATTGATGGGAACCAGAATTGATTTAGAGTAGTTAACCCTGAGTCCAGTGTAGGCTGAGAAGTGCATCAGGAGATTTCCAGTTTGCTGGATTTGCAAGGGACATGCAGGCAGCAAAAGAACAGTGTCATAATCATATTACACCATAGGGAAATCTCATTTCTTATGTTAAGAGAGGAATCATTCATTTTTTATTTCATTGCCTCATTGAAGATGGACTGCGATATGTCAGCAGCAAGCACAAAAATGAGAGGGATAGAGGGTCTCCTTGCCCGACATCTGTCGTGCATAAAAATTGCTTCCCTGGAATACCATTGAGGAGGATAGAGGAGTGCCCAGAGCTAAAGATCATGTCCATCCATTGCATCTATCTAGGGCCAAAACCTCTGGCTATCATTATATCCCTCAAGGCTTGGTACTCAATCATGTTAAAGGCTTTTTCAAAGTCAAGCTTTAGGATAATGATCTCTTTCCCTGACTGGTGGCATTGATGCAAGTACTCATATGTCCAGGCCAAGCAGTCCTGAATAGACCTTGCTTGAGAAAACCATATTGACTCTTGTGGATAACTTGTAGGATTATTGCAGTTTGTTTGCTAGAAACTTTGTGATGATCTTGATAAAAGCAATTGAGAAGAGATATAGGTCTGAAATCACTTGCAGTCATAGGGCAGTCAATTTTTTTGGGATGAGAGTGATGTAAGAGGAATTGATGCTCTGGATGTTGACTTTTTCCATGATAGAAATATGTAATGAGGCTGTAGAAATCTTCTGCAATAATGTCCTAGCAAGCCTTGCTAAAGTTGGTGTTAAATCCATCAGGGCCCGGTGCTTTGTCAGGAGGAAGCTCATTGACTACAACATCAATCTCAGATTTGGTAAAAGGCTCCTCTAGCAAAACTAGATCTTGATGCACGCTTCTCAATAAGGCTCTCAAGGTGTAGCAAGTTAT